ACAGACAGAAATAAAAAATGAAAATCATTAGTTCACCCAACCTGATAAAGCACCACAAAAATCAGTGTCAAATTGACCAGTTTCAACATGTGCAGTTCTCCAACTCTCCAAAGGAAAACAGTTAGATCATTGTAAAAGTTCACGATCTTGATAAGTGCCACCACCAGAAAAGACTTCTGAGTATTCTGCCGGGACTCCCGTGCAGGCTCTGAATGTCCGGCGCCATCTTGTTGGGAGGTGGAGGCAGTGGTATGTGGTTCTACAGCACCTCTTGCTGCTGATTGGTGGGCTGTGGGGCTAGATCTCACTTTCAAATCAATCATGGCCAGAAATGGACGATGGAAGAAATGTAGTTGTATAACAATAATGATTGAAAAGGCAGTGGGTGTAAGAAGTTCTAACAGAAGGCTGGCTTTTGTGTGTTGGCGAAGTCCAAGATTGTACAGCCTGTTAGGAGACAAAAATGATTTTTTTTTTTTTTCAGCTACTGCATTAGGCCTCGTCACAATCGTATACAAAGCTTTTGAAACACCAAATCTCTCCGTGCTGTGTCAAACAATAGAAAGGCACAATTAGAAGAATGTTTGTGTTATAGAAACGCCACAAACGTTTTTTCGTGCACAATTTATGGCTACATACAACAATATTATTTACGAATAAGAAGGCCGAAAGAGTCATGAGATGCTATGTTTTTTATGCTGCTTTCAAATTAACAAATTGACACAAGTTTTTCATGGGTCTGTCCTGTTATTGACAATGAATTTTGTCATAACATTGTCAAACTGGCAATACATGTACATGTACTTTTCAAAGAACGTGTACTTTCTTGTTACGAAAGATATACAATATTGTCCTTACCATTGGTCCGATAGCCCTGTTGCATTATGCCAGTAGACAGGCATGTTATCAAACTGATATGTGTAGATCAACAACAAGATACAGATGGAATATATCACCATCACCCACCACAGAGGACGTAGAATTAACCTCCAAGTGGCAATAGAGATCTTGAAACAAACAAAGAAGTGTTACTGAATGCCATGTGAACATACTCTGACTTGGAAATGCTATAGGTGCCCACTCAAGAACAAGTATATATGGGTTATTGAC